GAAGATAATTTATTTATATATGCGCGTCCCTAATTGTTGTGCCTAATATTTCAAGCACCGTTCAGACAAGAAGTATTAATTCGTCAAAATGCATTCAAAGTATAAGTTGACAAGTTTGAAATCTTCATTAATTTGCGCATAAGAAGACAACAAGCTTTAAGGATTATAGTTGGGGATAAAAAGTGATTGTACGGGTTCATGCAATATCTTTGAATTATATAGCAACTTCAAATCATTCATTAAAGTTTCAAAAAGCTAGTGGTAGAACCCTACAAAGGGTCCTATGATTTTTGGATCTTGTACAGTCATTTAACAAAATGAAATGTCCTTTTAATATGTCTTAAAAAGTTGAAATCCCGCTTTATTTTTGTTAAAGTGAGTTAGAGTCCCATGTTGATTGGGAAGAACTTGGGCGATCCTCCTCTTATGAGCTAACTTAATTTTGAGATTGCAGTAGACTCAAGTGACATATCTTTATAATTTTTAAGATTATAAATCTCACTTTTAATGTGGATTAACTATAAATATTTTGTTTATATTGTAAAAGTAATGTGGCCCATTTACAAACAACTTAAAATCTCTTAGAACACCTATCACAAGAATGTGTCAAAACTCTCAGGACCTTAAACTAGAATTCACCACAAAGGAGTAGTCCGTTGAGATGATCGGAATCCTTTTAATTTAACTAAAATAAATTTGGTACAAGTGTCACGACCCGGATTTCCCACCATCAGAGTCGTGATGGCGCTTACTCGTGGTAGCTAGGCAAGCCAACTTAATTACCTTTCCATCACTAGCCATTATCTTTAACAGTTTATAACATCAGTATAGAACATAAAGTCTAATAAGAACAATAGCGGAAGTTTGTCTTAAAATGATGAATTTAAAACGCGGAATAGTCAAAAACAACCTCTACCCAAGATTTGGTGTCACATTACTCACGAACCACTAAGAATAAACTAAATACAAAGGTCTGAAAGAAATATAACAGTTGTCTGTCTCGAAACAAGGAGGCAACAGTCTAAAAGAAAACAATGAGAAGAGACGCCGGGCCTGCGGACGCCTACAAGGCTACCTCAGTCTCGTGAATATGAATCGCCTGCTTCCAAACTACTGCTGCTGCTGTTCCTCAAAACCTGGACCTATGCAAAAATGCACAGAAGTGTAGCATCAACACAACCAACCCCATGTGCTGGTAAGTGTCTAGCCTAACCCCGGCGAAGTAGTGACGAGGCTAGACTGGACACCACATAACCCTGTGCAGTTATAGATATACAGCGGAAATCGAATACCAAGCAATTACCAACACGGGAGGGGAAACATGCTATGTGGAGTTACAATAATAGCAATAATCCAGAGTACAACTAAAGCAACTTAGGTTCACAGTGAACAAGGAATCAATACTCAAATGTAAACACACAGCCTCAATAATTGTTGCGGCGTGCAACCCGCTCCATAATTACCATTGTTGCGGCATGCAACCCGCTCCACAATATCATTGTTGCGGCGTGCCACCCGAACCATATCACTTATCATATATCATTGTTGCGGCGCGCAACCCGATCCTCATATATTATTGTTGCGGCGTGCAACCCGATCCTCAATATCATTGTTGCGGCGTGCAACCCGATCCTCAATATCATTGTTGCGGCGTGCAACCCGATCCTCAATATCATGGTACAGTCCGACTCCCCAAACAACAGTCACAATCAAGGGGCATAAAATAAGCAAATATTTGACAACCATCCCGGCAAGGGAAAGAATCCAACAAGTTCAACCAAACGTCCCGACAAGGGAATAATCAACAACGCTTTCTCTTTCTTACTTTCCTTATCTTATAATTCACTTTACTATTTTGAGCCAACGCTCCAAAGAATCAAGTCATTTCGTATACTTTCAATATTCGTATCACAATTCGAGCCAATGCTCCAGGAATCAATTGATCCCATTACCATTCACATGTTATTCACAACATATAGAAATCCTCCAATAAACACGGAGTTCACAACCAAATCATGATAATCACATTATAAGGACTCACGGTCATGCTAGACACCAATGTATAGATACTCGTCACCCATGCCTATACATCGTACTCGATCACATAGCAATTAGCAACAAGACTCAACTCCTATTCCCTCAAGCTAGGGTTAAACCAAACACTTACCTCAAAGCCTTGAAATCCACTTAATCCTCAACTATCGCTTTACCTCGTGATTCCACCTCCAATACAGTGATATCTAGGCATAATTAATTCAACAATATCAATAAAGACTCAATGGCAACTTCTCATAGCCTAGATATAAATTTTCTAGCATTATTCCAAAAATACCAAAATTAGACACCGGGCCCACATGGTCCAAACTCTAGGCTCGGACCAAAACCCGATCACCCATAACCCCACGAGTGCAAATATATAATTTGTTTTAAGATTCGACCCCAAATTGAGGTTGAATCACCCAAAATTCTCAAAACCCTAACTCTACCCAAAAACCCCTAATTTCTACCTTGATTTCATGATTTAGGGCTAGGATTTGAGTAATTAATGAAGGAAATTGAAGAAAAAAAGTTAAACAATGCTTACCCAAGAAGCTTTGATGAAGAAGTGCTCTAAAATTCGCCCTAGGACTTTGGAAAAGGAAGAGTTCGTGAAGTGATATGTTTTTCCCGTCACTGGTTTTGTTTTTTTGACTTAAAAATTAACTGGGCGGATTTGCCCTACGCGATCGCGGATACAGGGATGCGATCGCGAAGGGTTACACAGAATGGCCAACGCGATCGCCTGGGTTGTAATGCGATCGCGTAGGGGAATACTGGGGGGGGGGGGTCCAAAACTTGGTCTATGCGATCGCAACCCTACTGGTGCGAACGCATTGAAGGAAGTGCTGAGGCAGTGCGATCGCGTGATCAAGTACGCGAACGCGAAAGAGCAAAGAGCCAAAGGAACGCGATCGCGGGCTGAAGATTGCGATTGCGTAAGAGGAAATCACTGAGCAAAAATTGCAGAAAAATCTGCTACCATTCTAAGTGCAAAAACACCCCGAACCACCTCCAATTCACTCCCGAGCCCCCGGGGCTCCTAACCAATCACACCTACTAACTCAATAACATCCTACGAACTTACTCGAGCGATCAAATTGCCAAAATAACATCAAAATCATTGAATCAAGCCTCAAACTCATCATTTCTATTTCAATCTTCATAAACTTCAAACTTTAGATATTTAGGTCCGAAACACGTCAAACAACGTCCGATTTCGACCAAACTTTACAGAAAGCGCTTAACACATATTTAAGACTTGTACCGGGCGTCGGAACCAAAATACGAGCCCGATACCACAGTCTTTTAATCAATTTTCATTTCCATTTTCCTTAATAATTTCAGAAAAACAATTTCACAGAAAAATTCATTTCTCGGGCTCTAGACCTCAGAATTCGACTCCGGGCACATGTCCGAGTCCCATATTTTTCTACGGACCTTCCGGGACCGTCCAATCTCGAGTCCGGATCCGTTTACCAAAAATGTTGACCGAAGTCAACCTTAAACATATTAATATCAAAATTCTTCAAATTTTTCACAGAATTCACATATTTCAACATAAAAGCTTTCCGGCTACGCGCCCGGACTGCGAACGCAAATCGAGGCAAGTAAAAATGAGGTTTTCAAGGTCTCGGAAGCACAGAATGAATGAAGAAACAGGTGATGACCCTTTGGGTCGTCACAACAAGCTTTGAAAATAAAGAGCTTTTTGTTCTTAAAAAGAATGAAATTTGAGGATTTAGTCTTATAACTTTCCTAATTTCATACATATAAGAAAGAAAACATTTTATATTTTTTTTTCCACTTTTTCTACTTTTCCTATTTCTTGGTTGGGTTGGGGGGGGGGGGGGAGGAGGTGTGTTGAACTTGACATAGCGATGGAAATTTTAGATGATGATCTGTGAATTTCTCCAATCTACCACCTACTCAGATACAAACAGCGTTTTAATTAAGGCCCACACCGTTTAATGAAGCAGGTATACTAACAGGATACTATCATTAAAATCAGGGGTCCCAAATCATGACTTCAATACAACTTCTTCAACCACTTTGTTTGATTAGTTAAGCAGATTAATGGGAATTAACCTTCAACACTTTTTTTCTTATTGGAATATCACACGTGTCTTGTTACTTTATATAGCTAAAGTTAGCTCACATTTTAAAAGGTTACCTTAACAAAGTGAGATTAATATAACCCCTAACTAATCGTACGAGCGGAGTCAGGATTTGAAGTTTATGGATTTGGGGTTCTAATCATTTTAAGTTATGGGGTTCTAAATTAATAATTTATAAATATTTAATAAATTTTCTAAGACAAATACAGAGTTTGAACCAAAGCTATTGAGTTTGGCCGAACCCGTAGATTGGGGCGGCCCTTCCATAAAGCAAGTAAAACAACTGTTTTATAAAAGAGAGAGTTGATGCAAAAGAGCTTGAGCATTTTATTGATAGCATTCTTCTTTTTATACACAGAGAAGAGAAGAGAATGAGATCCCATGAAAATAGACCAATACAAAAGGAAAAATATACAAAGTGAATAAAAGTGAATATTCTTCTGTATGAGAATACAAAACAAATATTCTTGTTGAGAATATCACAATCAATCTTCAGTTTTCTTATTATCCCCTCGCAAGTTAGGAGTTGGTGAAGCTACTCCTAACTTGATCAGATTGCGCCAAAAACGTGCTTTTGGCAGAGGCTTGGTAAGCAAATCCGCCAGTTGATCTGCCGAGTGAACATGGATTACTTGAATCTTCTATTGTTGAACTTGATCGCGAATAAAGTGAAAATCAATGGCTATGTGTTTCATTCGACTATGAAAAATTGGAATTTGGCATAAGTAGTGCTCACATTATCACAGTAACTGTTGGTGTGCGAGATAGAGCAATATGAAGTTCAGAAAATAGATTCATTATCCAATTTGTCTCTGCGACAGCTCTAGCAACAGCACAATATTCTGCCTAAGTGGAAGATTTGGCTACAGTCCTTTGTTTTTCAGACGACCAATTGATGGGATTAAAGCCAAAATAAATAACATAAGCAGAGGTAGAATATCGATCATTCACATCACCTGCCCGATCCGCATTAGAATAAATGTGTAAAGCTTTTTCGCATTGACGACGAAGGAGAAGACCATAGTTGATTGTTTTCTTAAGGTAATGAAGAAGATGCTTGACAGCTTGCCGGTGTATCATTTTAGGCTTGTGCATAAACTGCGAGAGCTTGTTGACGGCAAAACTAATATTAGGCCGCGTAAAGGCAAGGTATTGGAGTTTGCCGAAGGCACTTCGATATTGTTTGGTGTCAGTGAGTGCGGAACCATCCTCATGTTGTAGTGGTGTGGGGGTGCTGAGAAGCGTGGAAACTCCATTGATATCATCCATACCGAAGTCTTTGAGAATCTCACGTATGTACTTTGATTGAGAGAGAATAATGTTATCAGCCAAAGGAAGTACTTTAACACCAAGGAAGAAGTTGAGTGGACCCAAATCTTTTAGTGAGAATCGAGCAGCAAGGGCATCCATCAAACTTTGGATGCTATGACCGTTTCAGAGTATGCTATCCGTTATACCAGGTTGGCCAGGCATGCACCGGCTTTGGTTGCTACAGTTCGGGAGAGAGTTCGCAGGTTCATTGAGGGTCTTATTCCACCCATCAGATCTAGCATGGCTCGAGAGTTGGAGATGGACATTCCTTATCAGCAGGTAGTGAGCATTGCTAGGAGGATTAAGGGTATGCTCGCCAGGGAGCGAGGAGAGAGGGAGGCCAAGAGGTCCCGAGAGTCGGGTCACTACTCTGGTGCCCGTACCCCAGCAGCAGGTCGTTATGGCAGAGGTTATTCGGGTCGCCCTGTACATTCAGCTCTTCCAGCAGCCGGCAGTACTCCAGCTCCACCTCCACCTCAGGAGCCTTATTATGCACCTCCAGTTTCTAGCGCGCCTCCTGCGCGGGGTGTTTCCAGATGTGAGTCCAGCAGGCCTAGTCCCAGCCAGTCACAGCCACCGGGTCCTCCCAGAGCTTGTTTTGAGTGTGGTGATACATGCCACATGGTTAGGGACTGCCCCAGACTTGGTAAGGGTGCATCTTCACAGACTGCTCAGCCGCAGCGTGCTCCTCAGAGTTCTCAGGCTATGGTCACAGCTCCCGCTGCTACCCCACCTGCCCAGCCAGCCAGGGGCGGAGGTAGGGGAGATAGAGGTCGCCCTCGAGAGAGGGGCCGGGCCAGATATTATGCTATTCCTGCTCGTACTGAGGCTGTTACCTCCGACTCCGTCATTACAGGTATTATTCTGGTTTGTCACAGAGAGGCATCGGTTTTATTCGATCCAGGCTCTACTTACTCTTATGTGTCTACTTACTTTGCTCCGCATTTGGGTGTGCCTCAGGATTCTTTGAGTGCCCCCGTTTATGTTTCTACTCCTGTGGGAGATTCTCTTGTTGTGGACCGCATTTATCGGTCATATTTGGTTACTATTCGTGGTTTTGAGACCATAGCAGATTTATTGTTACTCGGTATGGTGGATTTTGACATTATTCTAGGCATGGACTGGTTGTCGCCCCACTTTGCTATTCTTGATTGTCACGCCAAGACCGTGACGCTGGCTATGCCAGGTGTTCCGCGTATTGAGTGGAGTGGTACTTTAGATCACACTCCCAGTAGAGTTATCTCTTTTCTTAAAGCTCAGCGCATGGTTGAGAAGGGGTGTGCCGCGTATTTGGCTTATGTGAGAGATGTTAGTGTTGATACCCCTTCTGTTGATTCTGTTCCAGTGGTACGGGATTATCCCGATGTATTTCCAGCTGATCTTCCAGGCATGCCGCCTGATAGGGACATTGATTTTGGGATTGATCTGTTGCCGGGCACTCAGCCCATTTCCATTCCTCCGTATCGTATGGCTCCTCCTGAGTTGAAGGAGTTGAAGGATCAGTTGCAGGAATTGCTTGGTAAGGGTTTTATTCGACCCAGTGTGTCACCGTGGGGTGCTCCTGTCTTGTTTGTGAAGAAAAAGGATGGTTCTATGCGCATGTGTATTGACTACCGCCAGTTGAACAAGGTTACAGTGATGAACCGTTATCCTTTGCCTCGCATTGATGATCTGTTTGACCAGCTTCAGGGCGCACAGGTGTTTTCTAAGATCGACTTGCGCTCAGGTTACCATCAGTTGAAGATTCGGGAGCCAGATATCCCGAAGACTGCCTTCAGGACTCGATATGGCCATTACGAGTTCCTTGTTATGTCATTTGGGCTGACCAATGCCCCTGCAGCTTTCATGCATTTGATGCACAGTGTGTTCAGGCCATTTCTTGACTCGTTCGTGATTGTTTTTATTGATGATATTCTGGTGTATTCCCGGAGTCGGGAAGATCATGAGCAGCATCTGAGGACCGTGCTACAGACCTTGAGGGAGAAATAGTTATATGCAAAGTTCTCAAAATGTGAGTTTTGGCTGAGTTCTGTGGCATTCTTAGGCCATGTGATTTATAGTGAGAGTATTCGGGTGGATCCGAGGAAGGTAGAGGCCGTGCAGAGTTGGCCCAGGCCGTCCTCAGCTACAGAGATTCGCAGCTTCCTTGGCTTGGCGGGTTACTACCGTCGTTTTGTGGAGGGATTTTCATCGATTGCTGCCCCTATGACTAGATTGACCCAGAAGGGTGCCCCATTTCAGTGGACAGAGGAGTGTGAGGCGAGCTTTCAAAAGCTCAAGACAGCTTTGACTACAACCCCTATCTTGATGTTGCCTACCGGTTCGGGGTCTTATACTATCTATTGTGACACCTTGAGAGTTGGCCTTGGAGCAGTGTTGATGCAGGACGGTAGGGTGATTGCCTACGCATCCAGACAGTTGAAGGTACATGAAAAGAATTACCCTGTCCACGACCTTGAGTTAGCTGCCATTGTTCATGCCTTGAAGATCTGGCGTCATTACCTGTATGGTGTGCCTTGTGAGATCTATACTGATCATCGGTGTTTGCAGCACTTGCTCAAGCAAAAGGATCTCAATATGCGTCAGAGGAGGTGGTTAGAGCTGCTGAAAGATTATGACATCACTATCCTATATCACCCGGGCAAGGCCAATGTGGTGGCGGATGCCTTGAGTCGCCGGGCGGAGTGTTTGGGGAGTTTGGCATATTTACCAGCTTCAGAGAGGCCTATGGCGATGGATGTTCAGGCCTTAGCTAGCCAGTTCGTGAGATTGGATCTTTCGGAGCCTAGTCGGGTTCTAGCCTGTGTGGTTTCCCGGTCTTCCCTATTTGACCGTATCAGGGAGCGGCAGTATGATGACCCTCATTTGCTTGTCCTTCAGGACAGGGTCCAGCGTGGGGATGCCAGAGATGTGACCATTGGAGATGATGGAGTAATGAGGATGCAGGGACGGATTTGTGTGCCCAATGTTGATGGTCTTCGAGAGTTGATTCTAGCAGAGGCCCATAGTTCGCGGTACTCCATCCATCCGGGTGCCGCGAAGATGTATCAGGACCTGAGGCAGCACAACTGGTGGAGGCGGATGAAGAAGGATATAGTTGGTTATGTGTCTAGATGCCTCAACTGCCAGCAGGTGAAGTATGAGCACCAGCGCCCGGGTGGGTTGCTCCAGCAGATAGAGATTCCATAGTGGAAATGGGAGCGCATCACCATGGATTTTGTATCTGGACTTCCACGGACCCTGAAGAAGTTTGATTCCATTTGGGTTATTGTGGACCGGCTGACCAAGTCCGCTCATTTCATTCCTGTGTGTACCACTTATTCATCGGAGCGGTTGGCGGAGATTTATATCAGGGAGATCGTTCGTTTGCATGGTATTCCAGTTTCTATCTTTCGGACAGAGGTACTCAGTTTACATCGCGGTTCTGGAGAGCTGTGCAGCAGGAGTTAGGCACTCGGGTGGAGTTGAGCACAGCATTTCACCCCCAGACGGACGGACAGTCCGAGCGCACTATTCAGATTCTTGAGGACATGCTCCGTGCGTGCGTGATTGAGTTTGGAGGGTCTTGGGATCATTTCTTGCCATTGGCGGAGTTTGCTTATAACAACAGTTATCAGTCCAGCATTCAGATGGCGCCATATGAGGCTTTATATGGCAGGAGGTGTAGATCTCCGGTGGGTTGGTTTGAGCCGGGTGAGGCCAGGCTATTGGGTACAGAGATGGTTCAGGATGCATTGGAGAAGGTCAAGGTAATTCAGGACAGACTCCGTACAGCCCAGTCTAGACAGAAGAGTTACGCGGACAGGAAGGTTCGTGAAGTTTCATATATGGTTGGTGAGCGGGTTCTGCTTCGGGTCTCGCCTATGAAAGGCGTCATGAGGTTTGGAAAGAAAGGGAACCTGAGTCTGAGGTTTATTGGCCCTTTTGAGATCTTGAGGCGAGTTGGGGAGGTTGCCTATGAGCTTGCCTTACCTCCCAGCTTGGCCGGAGTTCATCCGGTATTTCATGTTTCGATGCTCCGGAGGTATCACGGTGATCCGTCGCACGTGTTGGATTTCAGTTCAGTCCAGTTGGACAAGGATCTATCCTATGTTGAGGAGCCAGTGGCTATTTTGGACAGGTAGATCAGAAAGTTGAGGTCAAAGAACATAGCTTCAGTAAAGGTTCAGTGGCGGGGTCAGCCGGCCGAGGAGGCGTGGGAGACCGAGCAGGATATGCGCAGCCAATACCCTCATCTTTTCACTACTTCAGGTATGTTCTCTATGCTCGTTCGAGGACGAACGAATGTTTAAGTGTAGGAGGATGTAACGACCCGGCCGGTCGTTTTTGGAATTTACGCCCCGATCCCCCATTAACTGCTTCCCCTAAGTTCATTTCTGCCATTTTGGTATGCCGGGATGTTCGGTGTTAAGTTTTGGAGAGTTTTGGGACACTTAGTCCCTAAATGAGAGCTTAAATGTTGAAAAATGGTCCGTAATCGGAACAGTGTGAAGACGACCTCGGAATGGAAATCCAATGGTTCCGTTAGCTCCGTTAGGTGATTTCGGGGTTGGGAGTGTGTTCGGAATGTATTTTGGGAGCTCGTAGCTCATTTAGGCTTGAAATGCCGAAGTTTGAATTTTTTGAAGTTTCCGGTTCGATAGTGAGTTTTTGATCCGAGGGTCGGATTGGAATTCCGGAAGTTGCAGTAGCTCCGTCATGTCATTTGGGATGTGTGTGCAAAATTTCAGGTCATTCGGACGTGTTTTGGTTAGGTTTTTGATCGAAAGCGTATTTGGGAAGAAACTTGTAGTTCTTAGGCTTGAATCTTTGATTTAATCGGGTTTTCGGTGTTGTTTTAGGTATTTTAAAGATTGGTACAAGTTTGAATAAGGTATTAAGTGGTATTGGTGCTTTTGATTGAGGTACCGGGGGCCTCGGGATGATTCCGGGTGGTTAACGGAGAAATTTCTAAGTAATTGCTGCAGCTGGTATTTTTCTTTCTGGTATTTTCGCTTCTGCGGCTTGGGAACCGCAGAAGCGGAGCCGCAGAAGTGGCCTTGGACGTCGCAAAAGCGGCTTGTGCCCCCTTCCTACGGAGCCGCAGAAGCGGTGCCACT